CTAACATGAAGTAGACACTACTGGCTGCTTTTGACCATGCCAGTTGGCATGCGTGGATATTTCCAGGGGGCCCAACAGGTCAAAATCAGAAGAGGTCAGCAGCCACAGGGAAAGGATCTCCCAGGGCACGCCCACAACAGCCCTTAAGCAAAACTCTCAGGCGAGAGACCTCCACTGTTGCCTGCCCCCAGTGCTCACCAGGGAAGTCTGTGCTACCACATTCATCCGGGTCCTCCACTGTCCTCCAGGGTAATGGCTCAGTGCACTCTTCTCCACACACCCCTCACAAGGTCAATTCTCCAGTGCTTTTGAACTTGACATGGACTGCCTGAGTGGTGAACAGAGGCCAGGATATCAGGTTCCCAATGCCCCCAGCGGCCGCAGACCTCTGCCAATTCTTTGTTACAATCTGCTGGCAGACACGAGGCCTGGCCCAGAGGACTGGGCACCCAGAACTATTGCCAAGAATGGAGCCAATATCATTCCCTAGCTCTCTGATTGAGGCCCCACACTGCCTCTGGGCCCATCCTTTCATCTGCCCCTGTCATCAAGCCCCCACACCCTGGGCACTCACTACCTGTTCCCCGGCAAACTGTCTATTCTTGCGGCCTAACAGATTCAGAATGCAGTCCTTCATGGAGGTCTTTCTTCAGAACTCCTGCTTGGGCCACTCTGTTCCTTCATTCTGTCCTCAGACAGTATTCAAGTAACTACAATCCTGACCTTGGGGAGCGAAGATGGGAACCATGGCAGAGATGTACCCCGAGAGAGACAACAGTTTTGGTCAGATTCATTTAGAAAGGGAAAGGGGATTCTACTCTGAGGGAACAGCCGTGGTGGGGTCTTTGAGGCACAGAACACTGGGGCATACTTAAGGAAGCCTAAGGAATGCCTTGCAAGAGGTAAGAGAATGTGGTGTGCATCTTTGCCGCAAGCACCTCTTGGCCATGTTTCCAGACTGGATGGATCTTCACCCTAATGCTGGAGCCTGGCACCACCTGGTTCAAACCTAAGTTTCAGGTCTCCTAAGTTTTAAGTACCTCTGATGGCCTCCCTGTGAGGAGTTAAGCAGCGACTACAAAAGGCAAAAATAGCCTTAAACAACTTGCCCCAGCTGTCACTACATGGGGTTTCACTGGGGCCTAACAAAGCTGATAGACCTGCCAGGGATACACGACTGCGACCAAGTTGGGACTGGATTTGGAATCCTACGTCAAATCCAGGACCAGCCTTAACCCACTGAAGGAACCAACGATAAAGAATCTTCACAACTGCCTACATATTCCAATCTCCTTCCAAAGTCATCACATTCTGGGGTAAAGTCACATTCCTCACAGTCTGATGTGAGTTTCAGCAGGCAGGTCTCTGCTCCTGCCACCCGGTCATGACACCCCACGCAGCGTAGCTTGCGGGTAGCGGTGCCCGGGGGAGCCTCCGTGGAAAGTTCCGCTCATGTCGCGTTGGCCTCAGCGCCCCCTGGCGGCCACCCTCGCGGTGGCCAGGCCGCAGCTAGTCAAGGGCTTTCCAGCGCCTCCAGAGAAGCTTGCCGGCGCCCCGAACCTTCCGGGCGGCTTTCGCAACCAAGGGGATCCGCGGGTCAGACGCCTGCGCGCCCTCGGGGAGGAGGGCGTCCCGCCGGGACCACAGACTCAGGGCTGCGCCCGCACTACAACCCCCAGAGTGCAGCGCGCCGATGCCCGCGCGAGGCAGTGACGCAATGGAGCCGGCAGGGGAAGGGGGGGGCATGTTGGCCGGGGATGATGACGCGCCCTCCCGGCGGCGGAAAGGTGACCAGGGGTCAAGGCCTATAAATCTGGGTTCCCTTCCTGAAGCCGGTTTGCGAACCTTCCTATTGAGTAACTTTGAATTCTTGATCAGTTTAGCCTTAACCGGGGCTAACCACTGTGTCCCCTCAGCCTTGCGACCCCGGGGTCGCCATTGTCTCTCGTCCAGAGCAGCCAGGGACTCCCCCCTCCACGTATCTGTGGCTGACTTGAATTTCTGATCCTCTTGCCTCCACCTCCCGAGTGCTGGGATTTCAGGTATGTGCCACCATCTCTTATTTTGGAAATAGTTTTGGTTAACTAGATAGATCCCTTTGGATCTATCTCCCACTTGCTCTGTACTTTCTCTCCCAACTGATCAGTTGTAGATGCGGCATTTAGAGGTATTTTCTTGTGTGTTTTCTAAAACAAAGACATGTTCCTCCATTCAAAACCAAGTGGCGTTGATCAAGACTTCCGTCTCATGGAGTCTGGGTTATTTTTGTTCCAGGAGCAGACATTGCATTCAGCTGTGGTCCCTTGATTTCCTCCAGTTCGTCATTTTTTTTCCTGCACTCTCATGACCTTGATGCTTTGGGAGATTCCCGGATAGTTTTGCAGAAGTAGGTTTAATGTTGTATGAGATTTCTCCAGTCATGGTCCTTGTTCTGTGATGCAGACCAGACATTACATTATTCAGAGGCAAGGTGTATCTAAGTAGATAGGTGATCAGTGTCCAGCCACAACACTCTGTGGACACACTCCCAGGCCACACCCTTCTTGAGGATGCCTCCTTAGTAGGGGTTTCACTTTCTCCTCATAGGTTTCTGGCTTCTCTGGAACATCCACCCTGGAGCCATGGTCCACGCCTTCCTCATCCATACCTTGAGGGCCCCGAATTTGGAAGATACAGGCCTTTGCCGAGTGCTCTACTCCTGTGTCTTTGGTGCTGAGAAGTCACCCGATGATCCACGGCCACATGGTGCAGAAAGGGACAGGCTCTTCCGCAAGGAACAGATTTTGGCCGTGGCCAGGTAATGTCACAGCCCAGCCCAAGCTTCATCAAACAGAGCTGATTATGAGAGACGCTGGGGTAGGACAGTGTAGGAAGTCCCCTGGTCTCCCACCACTGTTTGTAACTATTACTATGAAAAAGAGTTAAAGAATGCGATTGTCATGATGGTTCTGGGAATTTCATGTATATTATTTAATCCTCACAGTCTTCTGAGGTGGCCATAGTTATTATCTTCACTTTACAGAAGAGTAAACTAAAATATGGAGTGTTTGAGGCACTTTACCTGCCTGAGGTTATGCAACTAAAAAGTGGCTAGAAATGGAGTCTTGAGTATAGGCAGGCAGACTCAGGCAAATGAAACATGCTTTACAATGGAGATCTTCAGGAGACAGAGAACATGATATATTAGGACTCTACTCAGGGCTGCTGAATGCCAGAGACTCAGAGCAGTTTTGGAAACACTGTATAAGAGAAGTGGATAGACTAGGACCTTCCCACCCCAGACCCACATGAAGTATGCAGCTCTTCACCAGCTCCCGCCACCCCCTTATTGTCAACCTGGTTCCCTTCTTGCAGCACAGACAGAGAACTAAACGATGGCCTTTTAGAGATAGTTGTTTTGTTTTGAGACAGAGCCTAATTATCTAGTTCAGGCTGGCCTCCACCTCTCTGTTTCCAGGCTGACCATAAACCGATCCTCCTGCTTCAGTCTCCTGATGCCGGGATTATAGGCATGCATCACCATACCTGGCTAGACAAATGGCTTCAAAGCCAGTCTGTGAGTGACCTGATGTAGAACGTGATTCAGAAAGCAGCGGAGGCAGCCTTGGCAGTTACATGGGAGGTGCTCATGACTTGGCAAAGGGTGAATGGTTGAGAGGTCAGATGGCCCCCTTGGATGACTTCGTTCTTCTCATCACTTATGTGCCTCTCTGTGGAGGAGGCTTCCGTGAGGCAAGTGAGACAAGAACTCAGCTCCTCGCCCTTTTTCAGCCTGAGAAGCGGTGTTGAGATCCTGTCTTCTCTTGGCCATTTAGAGTAAAGTGGTTCAGAGCCTACAGGCTGGAGCCTGGATTTCTGTATCATCACATTTCCCTGGCTCTGTGTCCCTGGGCAGATCACTTAAGCTTTCTAAGCCTAAGTTTCCTCACCTAAGATGTAAGATATTAACAGCTCTCAGCTACAATGGAAGTTGTGAAGTTGACAGAAGTGTCCGTGTCCATGTGTGTCCATGTGTGTGTGTCTGTGTGTGTGTCCGTGTGTGTGTGTGTCCGTGTGTGTGTGTGTGTGTGTGTCTGTGTCCGTGTGTGTCCGTGTGTGTGTGTGTGTGTGTCCGTGTGTGTGTTGCCTTGGTGGTCTTCCCAGGCTTCTCAGCTGGCCAGTCTGACCTGACGCCTCTTCCAGACAGGTGGAGTCACTGTGCAGACTGCAGCAGCAAGCATCTGGATGTCCCTCCACAGACCTGCAGCCTCAGTTCTCAGATGAGCCTGTGTCCTTGCATGAGGCCCCTCATGGAGCCTTCTACCTGGGAGCTGGGGACCCTTTCCAGGAGCCACAGACAGTGGTGTGGCTGGGTGTGCTCTCCCTAGGCTTTGCCCTGGTGCTGGATACCCAGGAGAACTTGCTGCTGGCTGAGAGCACCCTTCGGCTGTTGGTCCGTCTCCTTCTTGACCACCTCCGGCTGCTGACACCGGGTAGCAACTTCCTGCTGCGGGCTGACCGCATTGAGGGAATCCTCACCCGCTTCCTGCCGCATGGGCAGCTGCTTTTCCTCAATGACCAGTTTGTCCAGGAGCTGGAGAAGGAATTCAGTGCGGCTTGGCCCCGCTGACCCTCCACCAGAATGAGGTTTCTTGAAAGGACGAAGAGGGAGGGTCAAGATTACATACTTCAAGGAGGAGTTTGGCATCTGCCTCTTGCCCAGGCTGTGTCCTAGTCTGGTGTATGGCGGCATTCGGGACAGATTGATTGGCCAAGCTGGCAGGAGAGGCCTGGGTAGAAGACAGGAGGCTGGCTGTGCCTAGTCTCAGTTCAGTGGAATTGCAGAGCATCCTGAACCTGGAACTGCCGTGTGCCCTCTTACACTCTGGAATGTTCACCACGGTGGTCCTTGACTCCACTTCCTTCCCGCCCTCCTAGATGCCTGCACTGGAGCAGTTAATGCGTGCCAAGACTTTAGCTCACCTTCTCTGTAACCCCAGCACAAAAGGAGTCTTTGAGACTCCCTTCAAGGGGAGGGAGCTGGGCCGGTACCCTGACAAGTACCGGGGCCCTGCCTTTGTCCATCATCAAGGATTTTGCCAGCAAGACCTGTTCTGCATCCAGCTCCACCACAGTTCAGAGCAGGGCGATTCTAAAGCTCCTTACGTGCCAGACCTATATATATCTGCCAGGCAAGCTGAGAGCTAACAGCTTTTCTCGTCTGCTGGCTGGCAAATGCCCAGGTGATGTCTTACTTTGAATTAAAAATAAATGGCTGTCTGACTTTGTCTTCTCTTTTTGTGCACCTGGTGGACGCAGTGCCCTCCTGTGAGGGATCCTCTGCCTGAGTGACCCCTGATCTCCTCGACCCTGCTACTTGCTCGAGCACCCTCCTACGAGGCTCCCTTTTGAGGCCTCCGTGGCTCCTCAGTTGTTTCTCTGTGCTCCTTTGGGATGGTGGTACTTGCTTTTCGCTGTAGTGTGTGTCACAGGTGGTTGGTCAGTGCAGATATGGGAGAAGCAGAGGCCGAGGCATTTCTGGAGGGCAGTTCTGACCTTCCACTGTGGGACCTGAGGACCAAGCTCAGGCCACCCAGCTTCCTGGCAGGCACTTTTATCAGCTGAGCCATCTCACCAGGGCATGAGGTGTTTTTTCCAAAGTAAAGTGAAGCCCTTTTTTTATTTCAGAAACGTTTCCCCAACTTAGGTCGTTAAGTGGCTATTGTGTTTCATTGTCCCATCCAGTGGCGCAGTCGGTAGATCTGTTGCTCATCTTTCCCTACCCTAAGTGTGGCAGATATCAGAAAGCCCCAAGTTACTTTTGGAAGATGGCTTTTTTGTTTACAGTGAGGAAGGAGTCACAGAGCAGTTCTGCAAGGGAGGCACAGTTTACCTTTTAACCACAGAGGGAACCTGCAGGCTGCAGAATGAGGCTCAACTGTGTCCCACACCTCTGCCTTCTCGATAGTTCCAGACCATCCATCCAAGGGGGTTGGACCTCACAGTATTCAAATGCAGTTTCTTCAGTCCCCTCCTCTCTGCAGTGAGATGCCCGGTACTCAGTACCACCCCAGCATCGCAAGATCTCATGGAACATTTGGGTATCCACAACATCATTTGCTCTACATTTCTGATTCTGTCGTGTTGTCAGTTTCACTTGGGTCTCAGAACATGTTATTCTTCTTTCTGCTTTGCTCTCTAAGCATTTAATACATGCTGTTTCCACTGATGCTCACTCACAAAAAAAAAAAAAAAAACCAAACAAGCATTTGCATTTGGTTATAGCTGAATATTATGAACATTTAGGGAGATAGAGTTATACAGAATTAACAGAAAAAAATCTCGGAATTGATTATAGCATCCTGGTGTTTGCCAGTTATCAAACACTATAATGAAATACCTAAAGCTAGGTACATTTATAAAGAAAAAGAGGTTTATTTAATGTAGGCATAATTTTCTGTCCTGCCAGCCAGCTCCCAAGTAACCACACAGAGACTTATTAATTATAAATGCTCAGACAATAGCTTAGGCTTGTTACTAACTAGCTCTTGCAACTTAAATTAACCCAATTGTTTACCTACTTTCTACCATGTTGCTTCGTACCTTTCTTCAGCACAGCATGTTCATCTTGCTTCTCCTCGAGTCTCCTTGAGACTCCATCCTCTTTCATCCCAGTGCTCTCCCCTGTCTTTAAGTTTGCCTAACCTCTTCCTGCCTAGCTCATGGCCATTTAGCTCTTTATTAAACCAATGAGAGCAACACATCTTCACAGTGTAAAAAGAAAAACTATTCCACAACAATTTAATTCCCAGTTTTGAGTTTAAAGTACAGCACTTGGCATCAGCTTGGCTCTGGTGATATCCTCATGTTGGGTGGCAATTCAGTTGTAGGGTAGAACATGGGTAGGGAGAGGAAGAGAGAGAAGGGAGCTGGCCACACAGGAAGCTAAGAAACAGGCAGGAACCAGTCATGACCTTACAGCTCTACTGTAGGTGAGAGCTGGGGGTGCCTTATTCCGTATTCTCAATTGTAAGAGCATATTTGTATGTCTTTGGAAGGAAAGTGCGTCCATCTACTGGTTGGTTCTCAGTTAACCTGCAATCTTGATGTCTCAGGATGAATGCAAGGCTTTGTGGCCTTGGTGTCAGTGAATACCCCCTGTATTCCGCACACAGAGAGGGGCAGGGGAAGCAGAACTCAGATTCAAGCCCAACCACTTGAGTGAGACCAGAACGGACTTTGGAGTGATTGGTTGTTTTTATTTCCCCTTCCCATGTAATCAGCCTGCTAACCATGAGGGGAAGACAGACTTGAGGAATGATAATCCTGTCTTCTCAGACTGACCTCTCTGAATGGAGTGCGGTTTAAAGATTCATCCTTTTTTAAAGGTTTTTATTTTATGTGTATAAATGTTCCGTGTGTGTGTGTGTGTGTGTGTGTGTGTGTGTGTGTGTGTGTGTGCTCGCGCGCGCGCGTGTACCATGTATATGTATGCAGGGTCCTGGAGGTCAGAAGAGGGCATCTGCACTCCTGGAACTGGAGTTACAGATGGTTGGGAGCCATGTGGGCGCTGGGAACCAAACCCAGGTCCTCTGTAAGAGCAGAATGTGCTCTTTACTGCTGATCCATCTTTCCAGCCCCAAGATTCAGTTCTTGTCTCTGTTCACTGGCATCTGTAAGTATCCAGCAATGAGGTCTGAATTCAGATATTTGGATTACCTTAACTACCTCTGAAAGGTCTGCCGTATACCAGACTTACACTTATGACCCAGATCCTAGAAGTGAATCTGAGAGACAAACCCCAGCACTTTGATTCCCCAAAGTTCCCAGCCATTCTTCCAAGGGGGTTTTAATCATTCCTGGTCTCTGCTTGGGGCCTTTGCCTCCCAACAATTCTCAGGTTGTCACTTTTTTTTTTTTTTTAAGTTGAGGGCTGGGGAAAGGGTTCACTGGGTCAAAACACTTGGAGTACAAGCATGAGTACCAGAGTTTGAATCCCGGAACCATGAAAGCCAGGCTCAGTAGCCCACATCTGTAACTCCAGTGCTTCTGTGGTCAAACGAGAGGCAGAGACAGGGCAGTGCTGTGGGCCCCTCATGTGGTGTATATACACACAATGGCAAACACCAGAAAAGAGCCGTTTTCAAACAAGGTGGAAGGCAAGGATGGACCCCCAAGATTGCCCTCTGACCTTCAGGGTGCCTCGTGCCACATACATACACACACAGCACACACACAAATAATATCTTAATTAAAAAATAATTGTTTTTTTTTTTTTTTGAGGGCTGTAGTGGAAGGTCAGGCCTTGAAATCAACCCATAGTCCTTCAGAAAACTGTGGTTGTGGGTGTTGGGAGTGTGTTGCTAAGTAGCATGGTTATATAGCAAAACCTGATCTCAGCATGATAAGGAACAATTAAATATATGCACAGTGTTGTTTCTTTTATGTAGCTAGATAAATATCTATGAGCTTAGTGGACATTGAGGATGGACCTCTCTCCTTGTACCCTACACACTTTAAGAACCAGTATAAAGTCTGTCTTGTCATGTCAGTCCAAGCAGTGGCCCCTCTGGTCATTGCCCACTTTTTACCTTGAGAGTTCTTCCGTTTATTAGATTCTTTTTATTGTAATCCTCCATCCACACTATGCACTGCATGTCTCTTTCAAATTAATTTAATAGAGAGTATAAGAAGCCAGACAGAGAGCAGAGCAAGACAAACCTGGTGTCAGTTTCTATTTCTAGAATGTTATCATTTGAGAGAGAAATCCTGCTTCGTGGCCAGTGGTTTCTAGGGAATTCTTGGGGCTAGGAACTCTGCCGCTGAGTGCTCCAGATGAGGCTAGAGCTAGAACTGGACATTAGTACACACCCATGATTTCTGTCCTGAGGGAAAGCAGGTGAAAAAGTGGCCAGAAGGCCTCTCAGGAACAGTCACCTGATTTATGGTGGCAAGGTCAAAGCAGTGTCAACCAGGCCTTGCCAGCTTAAAGGGCCATGAGCTTTTGGAGCAGCAAAGATTTCACCTGAGGCTGGAGAGAGGTGGCATCTGGGCATTGCTTGGGAATCAACACTTGAAGGACCAAAAATGATATTAAAAGCCTTTGGCAGTCCTCCATTTCATATGGTCTTGGGAGGTCCACAGGATAAGAACAAAGTGCTGGCAGGCAGAGCAAACTTCAGCCTCAGGGAGGCCCAGGCAGAGGCTGACAGTAAGAAGTAAACACACAGCAGCAGTTTCCTGGGTCCACAGATTGTAAGTCAGTAAATAGAAGGAAAGATCCTAACCACTTTAAAGAGCAGAAACATAAAAGCCTCACGGTCGGGCATAATTAAAAATAAACAAAGTCTGCAGAGACCTCCAAACAGCCTGGGGATGTAAAACTAGAGAATGAAAGGGCAATGGGAGCAGGCTCACAGTACCTTCCCGGAACACTTGGTCGTCAGTACTCCTAAAGGTGGGAGTGTTGGGACACAGCCTGGCCAAGGGGTCCAGGTGAAGTTCCTTAGTAACAGGACTGGCATGCCTGTGCTGCAGCACAGGTTTCAAGTGTCAGGAGTGCCACACCTGAGCAGGCTTGGTGGCACATGCCTGTAGTCCCATAGGGAGGCAGAGAGGCAGGAAGAGTGAGTGAGCGCTTCAAGCCCAACTAAGACTGTCTCAAAAAGCAAGCAATCAATCAATCAATCCATATTTAACTATTTAAAAACTACACCTGAGGCAGGTGAGGTGGCTCAGGAGACCACTTAGGGGGAGACCCTGGATTGAATCTAGCCACAAAACAGAAAGAGACAGACAGACAGACAGACAGACAGACACACTGCATCTGAATCTGATCAGGAAACCTCAGACAAACCCAAACAGAAGGAAATGTTTTGAAGGCTTTTTTGGCCTGTTCTTAGCAAAAAGAGCAGGGCAGTGAAAGCCGAGGAGCTGCCACTGTTTAGGAGACCAAAGACTGTTAATCCAAAGCATTGTGGGATGGGGTCAAGGATGCAACCTGGAACCCACATGCTTTCCAGGGTGCACAAAAAAATTTAGGAGGCTCTGCGAAGTTGGGTGGGGAAATGCATCATACTTTCCACAAATCACTAATGGAAACGATACTTTCTTTTTTTTTTTTTTTCTGAGACAGAGTTTCTCTGTGTTGTTTTGGTGCCTTTCCTGAATCTCACTCTGTAGACTAGGCTGGCCTCAAACTCACAGTGATCCATCTGGCTCTGCCTCCTGAGTGCTGGGATTAAAGGCGTGCGCCTCCACTGCCCGGCTAGGCACATTAATATT